TATATATATATATAGATATATATATAGATATCACAGCAAAATCCTTCATCATCTTTACTGTCGTGAACATGTTATAGCTGATACATCCGGCGTATAAACGTTTTTTGTTCTGTTTTCATTTTAAATAAAGCATTTTAAAAGCCACTATAATCACATTTAATTAATTTTAATGCCAATTAAGGTCTTAATTAAAAAAATTATAATAATTTAATGAATTTTAATTATTTATAATGACCTGTGGAAACCCTGATAATAAAATAGCTCTAAAAAGAAATTTACACAAAAAAGGAAACTGGTGTTGGCTGCCATCTTTACTGGTAGATCTAAGCTTAGGAAGGCCGAGAATCACCCAAAGCAACTAAATCTAGTTCAGTAAAAAGCAAACGAAAACATTTGAAGTGACTGACTTGTGTGCAAAGTCCTTGGGAGGCAGGGCCGCCTTGATGATCTCCAGGATCTTCATGAGGTACGGCTGGATTTCTGTCCTGACGGCCACGACCAGCAGCCCCAAAGCCTGAAAAGCCGCCGTCCTCTCCTTCTCCTTCTTCAGGCAGCCCAGCAGGTACCCCATGGTGTCTGACAAATACTGGTCTGGACATCCAGAAGCCAATCAGGAAGTAGATTATTAACACCTTTTACAGAGTTTTTTTTTATTATATTCTGTGATACAGTTAGCCAATCAAACATGCAAGAAAGTGGAGATTTTTTAAATCATTTCCCATTTATCCATGGATGTACCTGTAAAGGTATGCGGCTGAAAGGCAGCGAGGCGGGGAAGCAGGTTGAGGATGGTCATCTGGATCAGAGGGTTTTTACTGGTCTTGTACTTCAGTACCCACCGACACACCTGGAAAAAAACGACGAGCATCGACGTTTGATTGGCTGAAACAACCAGCAGCGGTGTTACAGCGTTCTGCCTACTGTAAAGCCCACCTGGTCAAATCTTTCCTCCATCAGCTCGCGGCAGTACCGACTCTCCACCAGCGAGCTCTTGGCAGGGGCCGGCGTTGCCCCGAAGCCCAGGAAGCTGGGAGGCGTGCTGTAGCCCAACAACCCCAGCAGAGCGTTGGACTGCTGCGGCTGCACCGACTGGAAGCTGGTGAACGGGGTGATGTGGCGAGGCTTGGTTCCAAACCCCATCAGCTCCTTGCAGTACTTATCATGAACCAGCTGCTGCTGTGTGATCTCCTCCATCTCCTCACGCATTCGCTGTAAAGGGAACAGTGAGGGGAAATGAGAAACTTTTCGACCCGACTGAAATGGCAGGAGTTAAACCCAAACTCACCTCTCCTTCCATGCTACTGATCCGAACCAGCTCATTGAGGATCAGGAGAGCACCGTGGACTCTATCGTCACGATTCATCCCTTTCTCCTTCGCTAGAGTCTCGTCAAACCCTTTCTCTGCCTCCTCAAAGGTTTGCTGCAACACAAAGGTTTGCTGGAACAAAATCTTCCTCCTAAAGGCTGATTTATACTCAGAAACCAGGTTGTCTGCATGTGTGTCGCAGTGAACGTAAATGTGCCCCCGCCCCTTACGCAGATACTCTGCTGCACCCCTCTACAATTGTAGGTGACGGCAGACAGTGCCGCAGACAGGAGGCCTCTGATTGGTCAAATCTACATCCGCTCTACACTATACGTATTTCCTGTTTGGTAACTTACCGGCTTGTTTTGTTTGTATGACCGCGATTATGGAAAACGACTCGTGAAGATGGACCAGCTAGAAGAGCGAGGTGCGCGAGAACGCTTGGACCCTTTTTCCACCTGGATCTCTGCTCTTTTTCGCCCTCATGTACCTCTGTTGTTGCACAAACTTGCCTCCACTTCCTCACCGCCTCGGCCATATCTAGACCCACAGCTAGTTTCTAATTGACCCTCTTGCGTTGTTGCGTGGAATAGCAGCGCAGACCGCGCTTCGATATTGGGCATAAATCTAAAATATCTGGGACAAGCTCACTGCGACACACTGCTCCTGAGGATAACCAGCCCTTAACTTTTCTAACAGAAGGCGGGTTTTCTCAGTCGTCAGACTTACTTTGTACCACTGTGGTTTCTGCATTTCTTTGGTCTCCCTCTGTGTGGTGAGGATGAGACAGGCTCGTAAAGCGGACACCGCTCCTTCCCGGATAGCCTGCTTGGGATCCCAAACGGCGTAGAAAATGTTGTCGAAGAAGGGCTGCACTTGCTGAAAGAAGAAGGTGGGCGCGCTCACAGCCAGCTCCCTCAACACCAACACCTGCAGGAGAGACAAAGCCAGTCTGTGTCCCATCATGGATTCAGCTTTATAAAACAGCAATAAAAACATTTCATTAGGATTTATTGAAGACGGTAAACAAGGCATAACATCAGGGACTTTAGATAACTGTCAAAGTTCTACTTTTGAAATGAAGTGATTACACACCAAAACCTTGTTTCTCATTTCTTCCCATTAAAACCATAAAATAGAATAAATGTTATTGGGCTATAATAAAATGTGACTTTAGTTTCACCCCGACACCCCTAAATAAAAACCCAAGTGTAATACCTCCACATTGCTGTTTCATTCATAATTAAATTATGTAACTACATTATTAAATAATTGCTTGATAGTCACAATAAACACAGTCAGAAATGAATAAGAATAAATAACCTTTAGTTTATTTTGTCATTTCTTAATTTACTTCAAGAATTATTAAACTATTTTAATGTGCTTGTTTATTTAAATAATTATTCATTTCAACATACTTTTTACTAATTTAATTTTACAAAATATGTATCCATTTATCCATCTATTAAATTCATACTTTATTTAAAAATCAATAACTGGATCAGATATCAGTGATTTGATATCTGAGATCCAATCCACTTCACATTACATGGAACTGTTATTTTATTTTTTATGTTGCTTATTTGTTAATAAATAATATACAGTAGATTTACATCTCTGTTAATTTTTTATCTTTTTTAACAAACGGTTTTCTGGCCGATCACAGATTCCCGATTTTTAAAAAGGCTGACATGATTCTGATTTTGATCGACACAGATGTCTTTATATAACTGACCGGGTCAGTTCTTATAAATCAAACGACAAAAGATATTTGAATCTTTTCTTACTGAAAAACATTAATTGCTGCCTGTGAAACAATAAAAAATAGCAAAATAACTGCTCTCAAATATACCGTAAATTCTCTAATAT